AATGTATGCATAGGTCAGTCAGTGTGTAGATATTCAGTGGACAGCCGAACTTTCTGACCATCCTTCAGAGGTGGGGCCTCTTGGTGGTATTTGTCAATGTGACATTTGTAAGTTATTTTGGCAGCTTCCAGGTGCTCCCTTAGGTTAGACCAGTGCTTAATTTGTGCCAGGACTTGCCAGGGCTGAGCCCTGGCACCTCTAGGGTTGGCAGTTCATAGCCCCGGTACTTCTGGGCGTGGCAGTTCATAGCCCCGGCACCTCTAGGCTTGGCAGGTCATAGCCCCAGTACTTCTGGGCTTGCTGCGTCAGTTATGAAAGTAAGAAAATTGCTTGAGCCCCGGCACCTACCTGCTTGAGCCCCAGCACCTCTTTCATTACAAATTAAGCACAGTGTTAGACTGAGTCTTATTATTAGTTTGTACAGTAGCTCCTCACTCAACGTTGTATGTTATGTTCCTGAAAAATGAGACTTTAAGCAAAACGATGTTAAGCAAATCCAATTTCCCCATAAGAATGAATGTAAAGGGCTAGGTTCCAGGGAATTTTTTTTTTGCCATACAGTACAGCACAGTACTATAGTTGGGAGGTGCCCCCGCCTTACCCCACACAGGCACAGCTCACTGGCACTGGAAACAGTGAGGCAGGCAAGGAGGCTGAAGGTGCTGTAGGCTAGGAGAAGCACGTTGCGCAGCAGCAGCAGCAGCTTCCCCTACTCTGCAAGCACCAGGTGTGGGGGGCTTAATCCTCGGCCCGCCCACGCCACCCCTTCCCCCAAGCTCCAACCCTTAACCCACCTCTTCTTCCCCCCGCCTTCCTCCCCTTTTACTCCGCACGCCACGTCCTCGCTCCTCCCCTCTCCCTTCCCTGTCTCCTGCCCGCAGCAATCAGCTGGCTTGCAGCATTCAGGAGGCAGGAGGGAGGGGGGAGGAGCGAGGACTCGGGGCACAGGCTCCCCCTCCCTCCCCTGCCTCCTGAACACCGCAAGCCAGCTGATTGCCGTGGGCAGGAGGCAGGGGAGGGAGGGGGTAGGTGTGCCATGTCCTCGCTCCTCCCCCTCCCTCCTGCCCATGGTAATCAGCTGGTTTGCAGCATTTGGGAGGCAGGGGATGGAGGGGGAGACTGCGCGCCGAGTCCTCGTTCCTCCCCCCCCCATCCCTTCTCCCTCCTGAATGCCGCAAGCCAGCTGATTGCCATGGGCAGGAGGCGGGGGGAGGAGGGAGAAGGCACTGATCCGCAGGGTCTGCCAGCGGGTGGGAGGCGCTGTGGGGGCGCCATACGGGAGCTGATGTGGGGGGGTTGCCAGCTGTGGACAAAGCAGGCACCAAAAGTCGTTATAGCGAAGCATTGCACAACTTTAAATGAAGCATGTTCTGTAACTGAGTAGGGACGTAAGATCGAAACAACATTAAGCGAGAGGATGTTAAGTGGGGAGTTACTGTACTAGATCTGAGGCATCAGGAACTGCCATGTATGAGGGAAGGATGGAACTGTGAATGATAAAAATAATTGGAGTAGAAAGAACCAAAATAGGTCTGTGTTATTATAAGCGAATTTGGCTAATGGGAGTAACACAACCCAGTTATTTTGGCAGTGGTTCAGATACTGTTCAACTACCTGGTTAAGCCTTTCTGATGGGCCATTCATCTGGGGGTGATGGGAGATAGATATACTAGAATGCACATCCAGGAGGTGAAACACTTCCTTCCAAAACCTGGTTATAAACTGGGAGCCTCGGTCTGTGGTAAGATGATTGGCGAGGCTACGGAGGCAAAAAACATGAATAATTAGGAGTTGTGTGGCAAGATCCATAGTCGGGAAGTATATGCATAGTATAAAATGTGCCATTTTGGTGAGTCGATCCATATTGTTACTATTGTGTTGTATCCTTCAGATTCTTAGTTCTACTATGAAGTCAAGGCTTATATGTGACCAGAGTTTGGAAGGGGTGTCAGGAGGCTGAAAGGTTTGCTTCAGGAGATCTTAGTCTGACTGCAGGTGTTGTAGAACCTTTTGGTCACCTTTGTGGCCACCAGAATGAGTGGGCTACTGCATGCTAAGTCTTCGATTGTCCAAAGAGACCCGCCCAAGGGGTGTTGTGCTGCATGAGCAGCACCTCAAGTTGTGGGGGAATGTCAGGGACATGTTGATGGTCATTAACATAGAATTCATTGGCCCAGGACTAATGGCATAGGTGGTGCTAGGGAGGATGAGGTTGGATGACGTTATAAGCTTTACAAAAGGATAGTCAGGGAGGGCTACTTGGAGAGAGATAAGGAAGTCGGGTATCACAGATCCACAAATGAAATGGTGTGGTTTCCAATACTGTAGAGAGAAATAGTCTTGATGACCCAGTGGTCCTCTCAAGTCCTGATATCTACAGCATGACGAATCTGTTGGGCTGGCCTGGCAGTCTTATGGCAGTAAAATGTGGAAGATCAAAGTTTCTCCTGAGAGCCACATGCTGTTACCACATGAAAAGCCTGAGCTGCTACTGTAAATCAGAAATAGAGAAGGCCTCTTTCCCCCATTGTGACAGAATATACCCGTGTTCACACTCTACACAGTATTGTAATAATGTTTTTATAAGGTATGCCTCATGAGCTATCACTTAAATTCATAATTTGCTGATCAAAAATATCATGGCAAAATGCACATAGCAGCATATAAACATGAGTTATAAACATAAGCTGAGATCATGACTAAAAGTATGTTTGCCAGATAAGTCTGCGGGGAGATGGCTAAACTGTTTCTCAGACACAAAGGGCAAACTGACACTTCAGCCAGATGTAAACAAGGCTAATGGACCATTACTGCTAAATGGCTATTCTTTGTCAGGAAAGCAAGCAGGGGCAAAAATTCTATGTTTTAGCAAAGAAACAACATTGAGTTTCCTTCCACACAGATTGCCTGTCGCCTTGCTCCCAACTGGAAATGCTTCTCAAAGTGGGAACAGGACTATAAAAGGAAGGGGCAGGCATCCCAAGACACTGCTCTCTCTTTCCCTGTCCATTGCATTTTCTGCACCTGAAAAGACAAAGGAAGCAGCCATTAGACTGTGGGGGAGGGTCCTCCTAACCTAAACAGTTTGGTCAGTAAGACTGCTGAAAGCATGTTGTGAGAAAACTTTGCTTTGAATCTAACATAGTTGTTAGGCCCCACTAAGTATTTTATCTTTATTTTTCTTGTAACCATTTCTTACTTTGATGCTTCATTAATTGTACTCACTTAAAATCTCTTTGTAACTAATAAACTTGTTTTACTGTTTTGTCTAATCCAGTGTGTTTAAACTGAAGTGTCTGAATAACTGTTTAAAACAATAAACTGGCATATCATTCCCCTAAAGGAATAACAGACTTAATATATTCGTTCTATCTAGGAGAGGGCTGGGCAGTACAGGACATACATTTCTGGGAATGGGGCATTGGGGTCGCCCTGCCGCATAACCAAAGCTGGTATGAGCCAAGGTGTGGCTGGCTGGCTACTGCACACACAAATATAGCTGGGAGTGACTTATATGCTGGAGGCTGTTTGTGAGCAGTTCGGGTTGGAGGCCACATCAGCAGGGCATTGTAAAGGGCACCCCAGGTTACAGGGCAGGGGTGACACAGCTATTCATTAGTCTGGATTGTACTCCGCCGGGTATGTCTCACACCCATCACAACTGTTACACTGGTACCATGCTTCACTGCTCATACTACTCTTTGGAAAAATGGAGCAGAGTGGAAGTTAATGGTGTTGGATAATGTTACTGTTAAGAGGGAGCATGTATGGCTTGTTGTTGTAGCTGTGACTTAACAAAAAAACAGATATAAGCCCTGACCTTACATTTCAAAATACAACAAAAGTGATCATTTAATGGCACACACAACTGTGTTAAAACTTATCACAATACACAAAAATAACAAGTCACAACCATGAACATCTTAAAATGTAAGTGACAGATCCAACAATAGAAGAAAAAAACATCCAAAGGGAAGGGGTCAGGCAGGTAATGGTTGTAGGAGGTAAGATTATATGTACTCACTATTTAAAATACTTGATTAGTTTTTAAAAGCGTAAATATACTCTTTTCAAGTTCTATTTGTCTAAGTGGGAGCCTGAATAAGGACTTCAAGCTCCAGGCTGGAATAACTAATTCTCCTTAGATTAGCATCTTCACATTAAAAGTGTGTTCAAAAATTCAGCTGCTGAAAATTTCATTTTACCATTATAGATGAAAGCATGGTTCCCATTTTTGACTGCCCTTCTCCCCTTACAGAGTTCCAAACAATAACTTTGTTGTGTTGATTTAAAGCTTGTTCCTCTGTGAAATCTAAAATGAATAGATTGTCTTTCTATATACCTGTTTGCCTCTCAAGCATTTTCTCATCAGCAGTAAGGCACCATTTCAATCCAAATCCCAAGAGGTATTTTAGCAACTAAAATGAGTGATTAAAGACTTTCCTGCTGTTATTTATGTACTCTTAAGAAATCTAATTTTTCTTATTTAAGATTTTCAGTTGTCTAAAGCCACCTGGCTGGAATGGAAGCTACTTGCACAACTTTTCTATGACAGCTTCATTCATGCAATATATTTGTAGCTTCACCCGTCCACCACACACACACTCCATCCATTTTTTTAGTGGTCTGAACAAGCAGAGACGTGCACATAATTAATTCCATGAGTGGTAGTTTATTTATGTATTTGCATGTACAATTCTTATTCTTTATTAATTGCACATGATCTGTAACACCTATTTCTGTTAACTCCATATAACTGAAATTCTAAATATAATTCCAAGTCTTCAGACAGATTTTTATTGCAGCTAGATTATTTTCCATTGTGCCACATATATATATATTCGGTCTCTGGAAATGGCCTTATGCTATTTTTCACTCAATCTATGTAGCATAAATGGTAGTACAAATAACATGGCAACATCTGCTTGCACATGTGGAAGTCATAAATATTTTGAGTTGGTTTAAGACCTGTGTTAAATTGAATGCATTTTATTTCACAGCAAAGTACGTGTTGAAGGAACTGGACACAGAATACGTGTATTAAGGTGTGAAGGTGATTTGTAAGTTGCATATCAGTAGCGTAAGTGGTATAAGTTTGTTGTACATTAAAGTTCACAAATATTTGCCCAACTGCCAAGAACACCTATGGTTGCTACTCAAATAATGACAGAAATACAGGGCAGTCAAAAATATCCTGTCTTTCAAGATCATAAATCAGCAAGACCCAGTAAAGCCAAAGATGACGTCAAGCGTTTTCTGTTGCTCTCAGGTTTTCCCTTCTCTGAGGTCTCATACCAGGGCACCCTGTCACTACACTCCCACACTCCTGAGGTCCCTTCCAACCCTAATATTCTATGATTCTATAAACCCCTCTAGTTCTGCCTTCAATTCATGGGCCACTGTGGGGGCTCAGGGTACCACTCTACTGTTAGACCTTTGCTAGTTCTTCAGGGGTGCACTGCTGGAACCATTTTTATAGTGGGGCCGCTGAGAGCTACTGAATGAAACAGTAAACTCTGTATATAAGGGAAACCACTTCAAGCCAGGCCAGGGGTGCGGCACACCCCTAGTTCCAGCACCAATGTACAGAGGTGTAGCGAGCGCCCTCCGTAACCTTCGACCAGAGGGGGCCCCCGCAAGGAAGGGGGCCCCTAAAAGTGGCAAAATAAATACCGCATTCCAGTTTCTGCATTGTAAGGGGCCCCGCCCGGACATATGTTCGGAGGGGGCCACCGTTGGGAGGGGATCACGTTCTTTGTTGCTAGGGCCCTGCCAATGTATTTCTTTTAGCTAAGCATCCAGTCCGTTTTAGCACATTATTTAGTCCCCACTGTCCCCAGCGCTGTCACAAACCCCCATAATGTCCCCACACACCCGCCCACATGCCCAGACCTACACTGCCCCGATCGCTGTCACTCCCACACCAGCCCCTCGCATCCCCCCGCGCGCGTGTTCCCGCTGAGTGAGATTCTTAACTGCGCGCGCCCCCGCCGCCCCATCCCGCTCCCGGCCCCCCAGCAGCCCGTCCCCCTCCCGTCCCAATTCCCGGCTCCTCGGTCCTTGGCCCTCCCCTCGGTCTCGCCCTCGTCCCCCTCCCCCTCCCCCTCCTCTTTCATGCCTCTTTGCTCTTTCCCCGCCCCCAGGAGCCCCGGTCGCTTAGGAACAGGAAGCCAAAATGGCGGGTAGCCACAGCAGCAGCAGCTACCAGGTGAGCCCCTCCCGCCTCCCTGCCCGGGGGCGGCCGCGCCACGCTCTTGAGTCCAGCCCAGCACATGACCCCAGCCGCCAGCCTCCCCACCCTCAGGCGGGAGCTGGCGCCAAGCCTCTAACCTCCCCCCGCACCAATTCTGCATAACCCCGTTTGGTATATCCCCGCCCCTAGCGCCCCCCCCCCCCACACGGTCGGCGTGCGGGGAGAGGCTGACACAACCACTCCCTCTGCCCTTTGGGGTGAGACACTGACCCCTCATCATCTCCCCGAAGGAGAGAGGGAGTGACCCCCACAGGAACCCCCCACACCCACCCCATGGGGGTAAGACTGTGACCCCCACAGCAACTCCCCAGAGGGGCAGCGGCGGCACCAGCGCTCCAAGCGCGTGCCTGGGGCGGCAAGCCATGGGGGGCGGCCTGCCAGTCCCTGTGAGGGTGGCAGTCAGGCAGCCTTCAGCGGCATGCCTGCGGGAGGTCCGCCGGTCCCATGGATTCGGCGGCAATTTGGCGGCAGGTACGCTGAAGCCGCGGGACCGGCGGACCTCCCTCAGGCATGCTGCCGAAGGCAGCCTGACTGCCGTGCTTGGGGCAGCAAAAAAGCTAGAGCCGCCCTTGCAGAGGGGTGAGACCATGACCCCCACAGAAACCCCGCATGCCCTCTCTATTGGGGTGAGACAGTGACCCCTATGCATCCTATCCCCATGGGGATGAGACGGTGCCCTCCACAGCAACCCCATGCATGCCATCCCCATGGGTCAGACAGTGACTCCCATAGTAACCTCCATGCCCTCTTTATTGGGGTGAGACATTGACCCCCTGCACCCTTCCAAGGGAGTGAGGCGGTGACTCCCACACAGCAACCTCCCCTTTCACCTTCTCCCCCATTCGGGTGAGAGGCAGTGACCCATACAGCAAAATCACCTTCCATCCCATCCCTATTGTGGTGAGAGAAAAACGTACAGAAAATCTCCAAACCCTGCCATCCCAGCTGTATGAGACTGCCTACTCTTCCCTTATGCCATTTTATCTCTAAAGGGAAAGAGTCTTAGATACATGCAGCAACTTCCCCTCCATCACATCCTTACAAGAAAAACCTGTACAATAAACAGCAACATGTCACCTCTCCATTTCATCCTCAAGGGGTTAGAAAGAAACTGACACAACTAGTATAATGAGATGTCATGGATTATCCCAATTTTAAAGTCCCAGCTTCAATCCCACTAGTATTAGCCAGGCAGCTGGATGATCAGCTAAATGCCCTATCCATCCCTCTATGCTCTATTTCCTCTGTTTGCCTCTTCCTTGTAAAATTGTGCTAGATATGGATGCTCAGTATGAGTTATCCTATAAACCACTTTTTGATAGTGAGGGAGATTCCATGAGGAAATATCTGGTATGGAGAAGCTGCAGATCTGGGTCCTGTGCAAGCACAGCTGGAACCCGCCTCAGGAGAATGGGCAGGAAGTTGTAGCAGCAGTAGGACTAGGATCTAGATTCATCAGGTTCTTGTGGAACACAGGGAGGGCTGGTTGGGAAAGGGGAGGCAGCAGGGAGGATTACATGCCTGAAGGATAAGGAGGGAATGTAGAAGGAGGCTGAAATATTGGGATTTAAGGAAAAGAAATAAACTTTCTTTAATCTTCTCCCAGATGTCAAAACCGTGCTGTGCATGTTTCTCTTACAAACAGTTGTGCTGTGCAGTTGTCCTGATTTGCATTTTAAAAACATCTGATCATTATTACCACTGGTCAGAAAACATTTTTTGTGCAATACATTTTCCATTTTTCATTAAAATTTCTAGCCAGCTATAATTACTCTACAAACTGCAAAATCCTCCATCCTCAGAGAAGCAAGGTTGTAACATACTCATATTGCCATATATCAATATTCCCAAGCAATTTTGTATTTCTAAAGTAAAGTCAACATCTGTGTTTACTGTATACTATAGATAGATTTTAACTTTTTAGATGTTTTGGACCACACTAATCTCAGATATAATTTACTATAAATAGATTTTTTAGAGGTTTTGCACCAAACTAGTCTCAGATACATTGCGTACATTGCAGTATATAGTAAAAGCCTTGCTAATTCTCCCATAGTAAACCTACTAATTCTGGCAGAAAATCTCATGTTCTCTGCTATGTTTCAGCAGAGTCTTAATAGCCAAGACCCATAATGATGCTTCATATTGCTAAGACTTCATTGCTTTTATAAAATATACCATGGTAATTTACTGGTATGGTATACCATGAAAAATCACAATTAAAATTACATTTGTCAAAATAAATGGACAAGTTACATTTTGTGATTGAGTAGTTGTGTTTTTTTAAATTCTGTTTAATCACTTAGGTTCCAATCCTGCACAATGTATCTATGTACATTAATGCTCATTGTGTACAGTTAAGCTGTATATGTGTTTGCAGGTTCTACACTTTATTAATCTTCAAAATTTGATCATCTACAAGGGTCTGCTGGTCATTAGCAAGAATTAGTGTGCTGGTTTTATTTTATCTCAATCCTGCCCTTGAGAATGCACTTCTTGTGCAGTGGTTTTTCCCCAGATATGTAGCAATGTATCTATTTAAATAATTGAATATGACAAGGATAAGAAAAACTGGAGTAAGAGTACCATAAATGTAGTTGTCTTCTTCTTATCAATTTAAAACAGAAGCTTCCAGTTTCACCTCTCTTTACTTTAGACCTTATTGTTATTGCATGCAAGATCTTTACTTGCAGGGATGAAGTCTGACAAATTAATTTTGTTATCAGGCAATAGAAAATCAGCTAAAGATATGTGGCTTTAAGAGGGATATGGATGTCTCAGTGTTGTACCTTGCTGGACAGTAAGTACAATTTATATTACTAATACAGAGGGGTTTTGTATTAAATAGATCCAGATGACACCATGTACGTTAGTTTTTTGTAGTGCTGTGTATGTCAGATATTTTGTGAAAGTTATTTATATATGAAGCACACAGTAAATCATACTTACACAACAGATGGTGGACCAGGTATAAAAATAGAGAGAAATAGTGAAATTTTGCTGACATATATGGGCCAACTAAATTCACAGCTAAGTAGTTAACTTCCTCAGCCGTCGATGTAGATCCAGCTCAAGAAGGAGAGAAGACAGGCTCTATGGGCAGCTCTTCACTTGTCTGACTAGCTTGTAAAGTTGGATGAGAGAAGCAGCAAGAAGGCAAGCAGAAGTTGAAAGTACAGGAGCATCGTTGGCTAAGAACCTGCATATCTGTCTTTATGTTGTCCATCCCTCACTTCCTGCAATGGCCCTGGAGTTCCCAGGCATGAGAGCAATTCACTGCTATCTAGAGAAGTGGTAGGATAGCTATAGTGGCTTCTTTTACCACCTACTGTCAATTGTAGCAAGTAGCCAGAGATTTTGGGGAAATGGGAAGGTAAGGGAGAGAGACCATAGCAGTTGGGAGGGGTCAAAAACACCAGGAACCTGATGGAGAGAAGAATGACAGATTATTAGGTGACGTGTTAGGATGAACATTTTGATAGGGTGCCATAAGGTATAGGGTGCAGAAAAGGGGACACTTGAAAGTTGTTTAGAGGCTCACTTTGAATTTCCAATTAAGGACTCATCCAGAAATTGTTGTACTCCTGGCTACAATCTCACAATTGCACCTAAGAATACTTACACTGTGCATATCATGTTTACACAGCTACATTAGCATAATAATATAGGGCCAGTTTTTAAAAGGTGTTTAAGTGTCTAAAGGTATGGATGTGTACCTACTGGGATTTACATTGTTTGCCCAGATTGATTTCAATGGGAGTTAGGCATGAGGGGCCAGACTTAGGCCCAGATCCTCAAAGGTATTTAGGCCCCTAACTCTCATTTATTTCAATGGAAGTCAGGAGCCTAAATACCTTTGAGGATCTTGGTCTAGGTGCTTTTGAAAATCCTGCTCAGTGCTTATCTGTAACTTGGGTGCCTAAATACTTCTAAAAATCTGCCTTATTGCCTGAATTGCACCTAAAAGACTCATTCCCTGAATTGCATTTAAAAGGCTGTGCTACTGTTTGAAAATAAAATGTATTGTACTTTGGTGCTGAAAAATGATTAAAATATATGTTAGCGAGAACTTAACATATAGAAAGTATAAATCAATAAAGATATAAACCATTAGGAAAATAAAATTAGTTTAAGTATAAAATTATGGAAAAAAATCAGAAGCATCTATGATTGTAGAAAAAGATATGTGATATTATTTTGTATTATTTGACTAATAGCAGGTTATCATGTAATTAAAAATTATTATGCATACACATAAGGGGGCAGAGTTAAGTCTGCATGTAACCTTACCAGTTGTGTTTCCTGAGTGATAAATGTGTAACCGTAGTGCTCTTGCAACAGTTTTTGCTCAGGAATAAAAAGAACAGATCAAATGGCAGATATGGAAATGATCAGTATGCTCAGCAAGGGATCGTTTTTCCCATTCCAATGTATGCAATCCTTGAACTTCAGCCAGTGTCAGTATCAGATGATATTCCTGGATTTTTGACTTGACACAATGTTCTGCTGGCTAAACAAAGAATATGAAAAATTAATTATTAAAATCTGTCAAACTAGAGATGAAAATCATATTTTAAAACCAGTGCTATTAAGGGGACATGAAAAAATGTACCTTTGAACACTGAAAGCTGGAAAGAAATGCTGGAGGCCAAAAAGGATGAGTTTGTAAAAGACATGCAAAGGCTGGAAGGCATATGTAAAGGGACAGGCTCTTTTAAAATGTGAAAGGAATTAATCTCTACTTGGGGCCATTTAAATGCCTTAGTACCAGAAAGAACAGAGCAAGAGTCGAGATAGTTAAAATGAGCATATTATTAGGGAGGGAAGAAAGTGAATTAAAATGTAGTTTATAAAATTAAGAGTAGTGCAGGAAGTGCAAAGACAATTCCTCTGCTAAGAGACAGTAAAGAGAAACTTCAGCTTGATGGACTGTGAAATAATGCAGGATTTGATCAGTAAAACTATATAAAAGAATAATATAATAGCCCTGTAAAAGAGTAGTGTAAATATGAAGATCCTGATCCAATAAACACTTACATGCTTTATTTAACTACTTTGAATAATCTATTTACTGATTACTCACTTTAAAGCATGTGAGTAAGTGTTTTCAGGATCATGTCTATGGATTATTTTAAGGAAGGCCAATTTACCAAATTAACAAAGGACTATCAGTCTGTATTGGACTATCTAGACTTCAAAAAATGGAAGCATAAGAGCATAAACCCAAATTAAAGGTATGTCTATGCTGTGAGCAGGGGTGTAATTCCCAGATCAAGGAGACATACCTGCTAGTTCTGATGGTGTGAGCAGCTAGCTGCCCCAAGTACATACTTATGGTCTTGGACAGATACATACTCAGAGTAGCTAACCTCTTGCATCATTGTGGCTACACTCCTACTTTTAGTGCACTAGCTTGATTAGAGCTAGTGCAGTTATGTCTCCTTGAGCAGGGATTGAGCTGGGAATCACACCAGCTCGTAGTATAGATGTACCCTTAGTTGGTGGGGTATGCTTCAAGCAGATTATTTTTAAAAGCTGGACTAAGCAGAGGTGCCTAGTCTCATCTTTCCTCTTCTTTTTTTCCTGGATATGGAACAGTTTGCATGGAAGATTAGAGAAAAATCAGATACTAAGTTTTACAGTTCATTCATAAACAAATCAATTGGCACTTTAGGCTGAAGATATGATGTTAATCATTTCTGATCCTATTGCTTCCTTACCAAACACAGGTCCTGATCCTGCAACTTGATCAAATCCATTTACAAAATCAATTTTAAGATAAATATCATAGAGGAAATAAAAATCCTTTATGGCAGCGAAGGATGAGGGAGAAGCAAGTATTACAAGAATTATTGGCCAGTTCAACTTGGGTTTTCTGGTGAGGGAAGTTTATTGTGGTTTATATTACCCTAGTGACCTAAGGCCCCATTGTGCTAGTTGCTGTATAAATAGAAAAGAGACAGTCCCTGCCCCAAGGAGCTGACAGTCTAATTTAAAACAAGACACATCAAGTGAGTGTAATTAAAAAATAGGAGGGAATGCAGGAGAGACAGTAATCATAGCTTCTTCTTCGAATGATGTCCTTGTGGGTGCTCTATTTGTAGGTGTGGAAGTGCCCCCTGTGCCTGTGATCTGAGATCTTCATCAGCCGTGCCCGTTGGACTGCATATGTGCCCCTCCCCCTTCTCGTGCTGTGAGCAGGATGCAGATATATCACTGTGTGGTCCAACCACCCCCAGTTCCTTCTCTACCGACTTTGGTCTGGGACGGAATCCACTGCAGAGCCTGCTTCTCCTATTACCTCACTAGATAGTCCCTTACCTGTTAGTGTAGTGTAGTTAGTATTTTCTTCTTCACCTTTCTTCCTTCTATCTATAAACATTTTTTGTTTGTTTTAACTTTACCGTTACAGTTATTTCATAACTTAGGTTTCCGTTTTCCCTTGTTTCCGCCCTTCCTGACCAGGAAGCCTTTTTCCTCCATCCTTATGCCCAGATCCCCTGGGTTTAAGAGGTGTTTCTTGTGGCTCCACCTTCCCGGTAACAGGTGACCACCAACAGTGTATTCACTGCCTTGCCCTGAAACCTAGAGCCAGAAAAGACCGGGACATTAGATTAAAACTTCTCCTCATGGAGAAATTGCTGCAACTGGCATTGGACCTGGGCCCAGACTCTTTCCCGGAAAGGCCTACATGCTCTGTGAGGTCATCTCTAATCCTTACTCCCCACATCCCTTGAGGAGAAAGTCATCTCTTTCTTGCTTGGATGAAAAGAAATGGGCTCCCTCCTCACACTTTGAGGCACACCCTCTAGAACACCATCCCTGGCAAGGTCTGTTGTCTCAACCTCATCTGACAGGGCACAGCTCCACGGCCTGTTCAAGTACCTCTGGTATCAATATGAAGAAATAGTCTAAACACCCTAACTGGGCAGACCTACAGCCCTTGGCTCTGTTTCCCAGCTCTGGGGAACAAGACAGGCCAACTTCAGGAGCTATGGCAGGTATAAACTGCTAGCACCTGTGCCTTTTCTGACACTGACGAAGCCATTAGCACCGAGTAAGCCCTCAGCTCTATCGAAATCATTGGCACTGGTCACGTCATCAGAACCGGTCAAGTCATCTGCACCAACCAAGTCTCTGGCGCTATCTACAGACACTTTGGGAGAATACACCCTTTCTTTGACACCGAATCGTACGCTGGCACTGATGATGTTTTTTCCCCCTCCACAAGACTTTAGATACCCTAAAGACCTGCTGGTCTCTAACATCTCTGAGTCTCCACTCCTTCGACTTGTCCTCCCCCCACTTCCACCCTTCTCTCCAGACTCATGACATTCCTCCCTTTTTCCATTGAGGATGGCACCTCTCTTCCCCAGTGATGAGAAGGAGGAAGAGGAGAGCTCCATTGCTCCCTCGTCTACTAGGCAAATCAGACCTGCTCATCCTCACTATCCACAGTCTACATGTGGTCCACAATCTTGGCATGAACCACTTGAGATGCAGCCACATGTTACACTCCCTCCACATTGGCCATATTGGGACCCTTGGGCCATGTACAGAGCACAGTTCAGGACCCCCTCCCAGGGAGCAAAGCTGGAGACCTACACCTCTCCCTTCTCCATTGGTCTCTCGCCCTCCGCTGGTTGAACCCCTGTGGATGCCAAGTGAAGAGGAAGATCAGGAAGAGGAACAGGAGGAGGAGGCTTCACCAACATTACATTTTTCCTCCTCCACCCCCTATATCTGCCGATGAGACATTTTCAAGACTTATTCTGCAGGATTGCAGACTCCCTGCAGATT